TCTTTGTTGTCAGGACAGAAAAATTGATTATTTCCCATTTTTGGAAAATTAACCACTTCCCATTTGGGGGGGGTCTCCGTTGTTCGTGAGGGATGGTCGGAGGAGAGCTATCCTCCTAGACTCTTTCTCTCTCACATTGATATCCCATACCAATACCTTCAGTGGGCGTTAACATCTTCTCTGCCTTTCTCATCCATTCACCTCCGCCTATCACCATGCTACCATACGACCAATGATCTCTCGGCAGTGTGGGTGTGGCTAAGCTGGCCTCCTTAAAATTGTTTACAAAATTCTCCTTTCCCATTGGTCAAAATTTTTTACGATTTCCACATTGCCAATTAAATTTTTATCACATCTTCTCTGTCAAAGTTTGCCATCAGGTCTTTTATGTTAGCTTTATAATGGAAACCTTGACTTGTTAAGAAATTAAATTCTTTTATCTCACCAAATCTCAATTCTCCACTCTAATTTCTGGGGATTGCCAAAAGTTTACAATTGCAACATTGCTATTTGACATCTTAGTGTCTGTTAGCAAAGTAAATGATAACAATCCTCTCACCTATATCGAGACAATGCCAAAATTTTATAATTGCCACATTGCTTCTCTTCACCTGTATCCAAGAAAAAAAATAAACGATATCTTGGAAAGATAATTAACATTGATTCTCCCTGCCTGTATCGGCATTTGTCTCCAGCCAAAATTTTTATGACTGGCATGTGTTTTGGCCGATAATTCCATATTCGCCTTTCTTTTTATGTCCCTCAGCAAGACATAAATTAACTCGACAGGACAAGACCTCACATGTGGCTTCTTCCCGGGTTCACAGTCTTGTGAAAATTATCTTTTTTTTTTTTTTTTTTTATAAATAGAATTAAAATCTTTTTTTTTTCATCGATCATTCTGTCTTTTGAGATAGCTCTTTTTTTTCACTTTAAGAAGGTCTATTTTCTGTTTTAATTTCTATGATTAATTAGTTAGCCAATTACCATAGGTAAATAATGTCACACTAGGATTTCTTCCTAGCCAATAAAATAGACGGGTTCTCAGTTTCATCTGACTTAGTCCCAGTCTGTCTTGCCTTGAAGTCAGAATGCTGTGTTCATTCATCTGAATTCACTTATATGTCAACACCAATTCTTAGTTTGTGAACATTTTGCTATATTACTGTTGCTTTGTGTTATTACTGTTAATTTGCCTTGCATATATTGTTTGCTTGCTTTACATTATTTTTTTCCCTGTTCTTTCTTTCTTCTTGTTGTTTATTGCAAACTTTGTCAACAAACAAGCATTTAGGTTTAAACTGAATAAAAAATTGCCAAAAGGATAAAAGTAAAAACATACTATCTTATTTAAAACTAGCTTAAAAGTGCAGACTTTTAAGCTAGTTCCTATGGAGGGCTGATTGAGCCTGCAACCCAAAACTAAAAGGACCTCTGGACCAGCTTAGAAAACAGACATGATAATTTTGAAGAAATAACTTTGAATTCATCAATTTACACCACTGGACTTCAAAACCTCACTTTAACTCTGATTCAGGCTATAAGTCTAATTCTGGCCAAAAGACCAATTTGGGCTGAAAGTTGAATTCAGGCCAAAAACCGAGTTCTTCAAATCACAAACTCTGAGGAATTTCAAAAGCTCATGTCATGAAACCTCTCACTTCAACTCTGATTCCTTGGCATTCTGAAGAAATGAAATTGATTTCCTTGAATCACAAAGTTTTCGAGATATTTTAAATGGAATTTAAAACAAAAAATTTTTGTATTACTTTAAACTCAATATAAATCAAAAACTTTTAAAATAACTAATTTTTTTTCAGTTATTTTTAAAACTGGAATTTTTAACTGTTCCCTCCTCATCCAGACACAAATCGCAATGCTGGATGTTCAAGCATCAGATAAAGGACATATTTTCAATCCCAGGATCATCCTGATTCCAAAAAGGTACAATATGTCTATGCAAGGTAAGTGTGGCCCAAGTTAGAGGAGTTTCTGACACAGATGGACAGACAGAATTTGACATTTATTTATTTAGACAAGAAAATTTTTATTTGTATGACATTTAAAGTGTCAAGATCACACGATTTTACAAATAAACCCTCATGCTATTTTTTTAAAAGGATTTATTAAAATCTTTCAGTGTATTTGTTATTAAGAATTGTTATAAAACTCAACAGTCTAAAATAAAATTTGTTAGTGCTACATTATGCCCAAGAATGAGTATTTGAGACAATTGTACATGATAGAAACATTGAAATGAGCACTTGGTGAATTGTCCAAGATATAGGTACTGGAATCCTTTAAAGATTCTATATGTACTAGATCATTGATATTCTGGTAAGTGATGATTTGACATACCAACAATGTGGTATTTGAAATTCAACCAATAGATTAGTTTATATGGTGGTCACAAATGTTGGTGATCTCTTAAATTTTGTATAATTTTAGCTTTTTTTTATTTACATTTAATCACAGAACTATCTTTTAGGAGAAACATATCAATAGTAATAAGATACTGTGTCAAAAAGATGGTCTATATAAAATGACATTTGGGGATCAAAAGAAAAGAAAGAAAATAGTAAATGACAAAGTCACAGTCTACAGGGGTCAAAATCTTCAACAGCTAAGGGTCATACTCCACAAGTCAAATTATATTCACATCAGACAATTCTTGATCTCAACTACCTTTAAAAAACACATGCATCTCTAAAAAAGCAAGAGCATATATATCTTTGAGATAAAATTTGCATGAGATGCTGGGCTATTGAAAAAGAGATTGTCCATGTCACTTGTTTCACCCAACAGTACATAACACATGGGGTTTATATTTGATAAGGTATGCCACTATTTCCTTTTTTACCCTATAGATCTCATGATTATAAATATATTGTCAAACTCACCTGGGTGGAGACAGATGCCAAATTCTAAACTGCTTTTAGGCTATGAGTTGTCAGTTGTGAAAGCAGTTTGCAGGGTTTGCTTTATTAGTTGATAACAGATTTTTGCTCCTTGTTCAGCTGCTAATAAACAGTAAAGGCTGCACCAATCAGACACAGCAGAAGGACTCAGTCAGTCTTCTTTATCCTGCACAAGTCACAGAAAAGCTCTGCTTTCTCAATCCATTTAAAAGACAGGGTGACCAATTATTGCACAAACTTGGAAATCAATCTAATGTCAAATGGTTTGTCTGTGTACAATAACATATTGGAAGCAAAAGAAAATTAAAATGGCAGATGACAAATTCACTATTCACAAAATCAGCAAGTCAAAATCTAAGTGTCAAACTCCATAAGCCAAATTCTGTTCAAATTAAACAATTCTCAAACTCAGTTAATAGGTCCCTTCAGAACATTGGTGATCATAGCTTTTCACAATTTCCTGCCCTTTGTAGCTCTCAATAAACTTTGTTTTTCTGTTATCTTTCTTAAACCCTGTTCTGCCATCCATTTACACAAGCTCAATAATTCATAATCTGTCTATATTTCCAAGATGAGTTATTGTAACTATTTACATTTGTTCAGATTGTTGCCCTCATCTTTATTGTCATATTCACAACATTTCAGCTGATGTACACTCCAGTGTTCTTCAGGTGATATATACCGGAATTTAGAACTGAACCATTTCTTTACTCCATGGAGGTAGGTTGTTCTAGTTCTACATGCTGGATATCTCAGTTTCAGTTATCTCCCTTTAGTAACTCAACTCTCCAAGTTTTTTTCATCTCTGCTGTGGCCAGGTATTGAACTCACAACTCTTTAGGTCAAGTCAACAGTCCAAATAATGTAAAGAGTATAAATACTGAATAGGTAAGTTATGCATTGTTTTTCTGCCTTAAATCTGTCCTGTGAGTATTAAATATTGCAAGCCCTCTTTCTTCATTATGTGCACTAGAAAAACCATATAGATCTCTCAAAAAAGCTAGTGCTTATAGTGATTTTCCAAGCGTAGCTTAGATGTGGCAAAGGCCGAAAGTGTGGGGCAACCAATGAGGATTGAACTGTCTACTCAGTCGTAATTGTTCTAGCGAGACAAACTTGCTGACCATTACACCACCTCAGGATGCCCAAGCTAGTGCTTATATACATACTTAAGACACCCATGATTGCTCAAACAAAATGTGTATGTGGTGCCAGACTGTAAAAAAAAAAAAAAAAAAAAAAAAAAAGAGAGAGCTTGTCTGGGTCATTTTTTTCTGTACACATGAGCATTTTCTTTGCCAAGGTGAGGCACTACTTTCTTCTTCACTACAAATACCAAAAGACAAGCTAATATAAATCCAAGAAAAACTGAACTAAAAGGAGAAAAAAGAAAAATTCATCTGTAATATTTCTGCACATTTGTAGTGTGGAATGTACAGAACTGATTCATCAACTGTATAATGTTTATGATAGAAAGGAAGAAATCAAAATGGTGGATAGGAGACTTAATACTGAATTAGTATTTAAGTTGATCCAGCAAAATCATGATTCTGACATCATAGAATATGTAACCACAGTTGCTGGAAAATCAATGGTGCACTTGTATAACTGCCCTTCTCATCAGGGATGAAGAAGATTAGTTGCTAGCAAATTTTCTTAAACAGCTTACCTTCCATTTTATCTTGATAGGCAGATGTATTCACTACATTTTTTAAGCTACAAGTAAACACAGTGCATCTTTCTCTTGATCAATGACTTCTTTCTTTGCCCAGCACAAAGCTTTCTTGATATTGACTTAACAATTTTGAAAAAATTTTTCAATCAAGTCTAATCAATATTCTCAAATATAAGATTTATAAATTGTTCTGATGAGCTTTCCTCTTCAGTACCTCAAATTTAAGCACACAACTGTAAGATTATCATCTTACAGTTGCATCTTAGTGGCTTTATTGCCTAGCTTGGGATACAATGATTAAAAAAAAAGATCAATTTATGTCAGTTTCTCCTGCTCTCATTGAAAATTACAATTTGTATGAGAAAATTATCATAATACTAGTTTACTTATACAGTAACAAGGCTTACAGCTATATCACATTGAAACAATGCTTCTCATATGATCACTGAAGTTAAGCAACATCAAGCCTGTTTAGTACCAAGATAGGTGACCACTTGGGAATACCAGATGCAGTAATTGGAAATCAGAGAGCCAATTTCCAATTCCAGTGGGTTCATTATATTCACTTACATGCAAATACAGTTAGGAACGATATAGATCCAATCCATCTCCCCTAGCTATGGGTTAATTAGTAGAACTTGTATCAATAAATCAATATCATCTCAAAAAAAATTCTTACAATCTAAAAATATTTTCTCACTTTAAATAACCCATAAAGGGTTGATAAACCATTAAAAACCAAATCAATCAATATATAGTAACAAAAAAATGGCAGCAATAGTTAAGTAATTTTGTTGGTTAACTTTTCTGTAAGAGTAATCTAGGAATTTATCTATACAATTATCTATTAAATCATGTAAACATTTTAAGATTATTTCCAAAAGCATTGTATTATTACTATTATTGTTTGTGGGGTGTCAAGAGTATTTTTTATAGCTCTTTAGTCTAAAGCTTATTTCATATAAAGCTCTAAATATGTTATCTAAAACAACAACACCATCATCATCAGCCATACTGTCAAAATAAAATAATGACAACCATATTTAAATAATTTCGCAATTGTATTGGTTATATTTCCTGCATGAGTAATCTACTATTTTATCTATATAATTAGTTCTATTGTTGCATATAAGAAAAATAATTGTTTTTCTCAATAATAAAAATATACAAAGAAAGCTAACATGAAATAAAAACTAATTTACTAATGAAATATACTTTTGTTATGTTTGCTTATTAACATGGAATAATGCCTCCTGCTATATTACCAATGGAATGTCTCATTACTAAGAAGAGGAGATCAGACTGTATGACCAATATATAAAGTCACATTATTATGTTTTATATTATCTGTAGATTTAGCTAAAACATTTGCCTTGTAAATACTTAAACTTCAAGCTTTGATCTACTGAAGCTAAAATTTCTCTTTTCAATGGTATACAACGTTTAACATTGTTGGGCTCGACAAACATTCTTTAGATTCTTGTGTGGCACATGCATTTTGAGTCTGGTTGTGTAATGGTTGAAGATGATGATTGTTCAGGGTGATTAATCAACAGTTTAACAGCAGAAAATGTAGGGACAAAAAAGCTTTTGCTTCCTTACATGACTGAAATCAGGAAATCCTTATGGAAAAACTTGAACATAGATGGCATTGATACAAAATTTGGTCTATTGACTGGGATTGTTATGTGCATTTTCCAAGTAGAGCATTTTAATCGGAACAATGACTAAATAATATGAAATATATTAATCAGTGGAATAAGAATCTACTTCACAATGACTAAGAGAATATTATAATCAAAACAGTGTGAATAAATAACAATTATGATTTACTGTAAATTTACTGTAAAAAAAAAATGTCAATTTACAAAAGTATCCTATATACAAAAAGTGAAGAAACATCATAAAAACTTGAATTAAAAAAAAAAAAAATTCAGGAAATTTGTGTTTATAACAAAATTACCAGTGAATAAAATAACTTAATAGAAACAAGTTTCTGATACTTTCTTAGTTTATTCTCTTGCTATTGGCAAATTACTTTTTGATTTATTCTTAGGAAATCTGATGACAAATTTCATGAATATTTATAAAATTGGTAAAAACCTACCCAATCTTTTCTTTTTACTTTAAATATAGACATTAATGTTTCCTAAAAGATTTATATTGATATATACAATGATTTTTTCTTTCCCAAGAAAGTTTCATTTAAAGCTGAATCTGAGAAGTAATCATAAAAATGCATTATCTTTAAAATTTAAACAATTTGAAATCACTTTTAGCAATTTAGTGCCTTACTTTGTTTTAAATTGGTTCCCTAATCAGTGTTCTTTAAGGAAAAACAAAATTTTTATGAACTTATTGCTTAAAGTTTCTGTGTTGTGTTTTGCTAGACTGGTAGTTTATATTAAACTGATGTTTGAACTCATTGTCTAAAATAAGTTTAAAATTGAAGTAACAAGCAGTGAAAGAATTTTGGAAGCACCATTTAGAAAATGGTCTACCAATTCACACATAATGGTAAATATATTTACTTTAGGTATTTTGGAATTTACAACATATACAGGGTGACCCAAGTGGATAGGGAATGAAAATAATTTGAGCTAAGCCTACATACCTGTCCACAGCCTAAATTCTAATCATGTTTATAGTAACATAACCTGTTACAATAATGTTGGTTGAATAGAGACTCAAAGGGAATGATTGAGCTTCTGGGAGGAAAAGAGGGTTAATGGGTTTGGGAAGATGCTGTAAATAAATCTGTAGGTAAGCATAAATAAGCACTCAGGAAGAAAACAGTGTCTTGTTACCATCAGCAAGTTTTCCCACCCCACTACAACCTGTACCCCAATCATTTTACCAAATCTGCTCACCCACCACCTTCAGTAGAGTCAAACTGGGCAAACATTAAGTGCAGAAGAATTTGAAGAAAGGAATCACCAAAGATTTTTATTACCTTTTCACTTCCTTCTTCCTGCAATGCCTAAGGAATTAGCCCAGGTAACGAGTGAAATGAAGAACATCTGATAGACTGGTTCTTTAACTAGTAATATTTAAATATGCTGGTGAGAATGTAAACAAATTTATACTTACGTATGAAAGACTTGACAAAATACAGATTTTTGTTTTGTTCTCAAATTTATAAGAGGCAATAAAAGGACAGTCTTAATAGATGGTTAAAAGGATTTGCATAAAAATAAAATTAATTTTAACATATCACTAGTCAAACATCCTTTGTATTAGGAGAATATTAGGTATTTAATAAGTTTAGCCTAGTCTGGCACAAGACTACAAATGTGAGGTCATCAGTGAGGATTGAATTGACTACATACATGCTTTGCAATGCTAGCTTGCTTGCTAACTACTGCAATGATTGTTATAACTCAAAAAAAAAAAAAACTTAAATATGGCTTTATTTTTTCTTCAGTATTTCAAGCTTATGATACTTTCAAAAACAATTTGGTATTACACACACAAATTTTAACTGAAATAAAATATGTATGCATTAATGAGTACTGCTCACATACATAGAAAAACTCAATATATTCAATGAGTTTTTGAGCAAAACTTTCCTTTATCTTAGGTGTATCAAACAGAAAATCAAAAGAATTAAACAATAACCAGAGTTGTTTAATGTACTTGAGATGAAACAGTCTTTCAAAATCACCACTGGTCAGTTACTAGTATATGGAATATTCTGTGATAGTTATTATTAATTATGGATTAATATTTTTTTTCATCTTGATTGCTGTTACTTTTTATCACAACCTCACATTGAATAAGAATTACAAACTGAAAATGAATAAATATGATTAAAAAATAAGCAAAATGTTAGCATATGGCATTTGCAAAAGTAAAGAATAAAAGCGCTATTGCTAAATTTTGATGACTCTCCTTCTGGTTAGAATTCATAATCTAATTGGTAAGACAGTGTCATGGACAGATTACAAGGATAAGGGTTACAAGTTCAAATTTCTCCAGATGCTTATTCTTTATTTCCTATCCAAACTATACAACAGATCTTGCAGAGATCTTCATTTAGACAGAGTTGAAAAAAACCTTTAATCCAAGTAATAGGTATTTAAAATTTAGTCAGGTTATTTATTATATTTGAGAGAGCACTAACAATTACTTAAAATTGATGCATTAAAATGATTGCTCAGTGTATGATGGTCAATTAATTTTTCAACATGAAAGAAATATTTATTTTAATATAGGCATATTCATTTAGAAACTTATATACACCTAATAAGAAAATATTATCATATCAAGAACAATATTCTTTGCAAAAATTGTGTATAACTTTGAGAAGACTCCATAACATATTCAGCAATGTTTGGATGTTCAAATATCTTTGTCTCTTTATTGCTGTTAGCACAATATTTTAGCTGATTCATTCTTTGGCCCTTGTCATGTTCAATTCTTGAGAAAAGAAAATGACAACTTTTTTTTACTGAAGAAGGAAAAAAAAATAGAGATGAAAAATGTTCATTAATGTACCCACTGGACTAGTCTATTTTCACATCAGATACACCAAGTATCCAGATGATATCAAATTATACCAAGGTGTAGACAGCTCCCCAACACCAAATTTACTAAGCTAAAATAAACTGCAATGTTCAAATCTGTGTTGACTCTCGCACCTGGACAATATGCCAATTAATGCAGTAGTCTTCAGTTATCTCACTACACAATGATTCTCTGGATTTTATCTCAGCAATTGTATTGTGTACTCTTCTCCCTCTATACAAGATTTTTCCATCTCACCTTTGACTATAGCCTTCTTGTTTTCATAAGATCTGATTTTCAAAGGATAACTGGTTTCTCCATTATATACCTTTTGCCACATATGCAAAGTATGTTATAAATGTAGTTTTTATTCAAACCTTCTATCAGAAAATTTCAAAGGAAAGATGTAATGTTAAATACTTTCTGATGCTATAACATTTACAAATTTTGTGGATTTGTTTTATCATTCTTCTTACAAAAGTAATACTTGCTGTAGCTGCTGTATTTTGTCTTAGAAAAAATCCAGGACAGATAGTAATTATGGTAGAGAGTGCTATTAATATTATTAATATCATTTAATTCTTCATTGAATCATAGTTGATGACTTGCAATCAAATACTGAAAACAACAATTTGGAAAACAAAAATTAAAATCAAAATATTCCACAGAGTAAAATTTGAATCTTCCACATGCCAAGCATGTTGCCAAGAATTTATAGGCTTCTGCACCCCCACCCACTCCCCAAATCCATATCACAGATCTTTAATCTCTTGAATAAGCATTTGAACATTGATACTTCATATTTTGTTAGTTCACAAATTAGGTTGCATACACACCTTTATTTTACCCCCAAAATTGGAATAGAAACTTCTTAAAAATTAGCCTCTATTAAATAAGTAGCTAGAATTTTATTAAAATTCACTAATTAGTTGAGTTTTTCTTAGCTAAGTTTTTTTAAATTTGCAAATTGTTGCATCCATTTTTTGAACAAGTAAAACAACTTTTCATATTAACAATCAGAATTCTCTCAGATTTTTAAAATAACACAAAGTGGTTTTTTTTTTGGTTTTTTTTAGAATATACTTTTCAATGAATTTAGATTTTTTTCTCACTCAGGTTTCGATTTACCATTAAATGTTTTTGTTCATACCTTGATAACAACTATTTATATAATACTTGGTTTTATAAGTAGTTTCAAGATGATAAAAAGTATACAGGAGAATTTGCATAGATTGTATAAGGAACTTGAATATTGATCAATTTTTATATCATGGGACAACTGTACACAAAATGTCTTCCAGATATGAGGTTACAAAAATCTATTAACTCGGATCAAAAACAAAATTCTCAATCACAAGAATTATGTTGGTTTCAAGATGTGGCATCAAATTTTCTTGCCATTTCTAAGTAAACAGTTTTTATTTACATAGTATACATTTACTAAAGTATAAACAAATAAATAAATATGTAAGAAAATGTTGGATGAGGAAGCACACAGAAATATACTGAGTTAATGCTTTTTTATAATAATAATAATACTTAGAATAAGAATTGGAGACCTGATAAAGTTGTTGCAATTATTCATTGGAATTTGTATAAGTATCGGTTTGAATATAGTGACAAGTATTATGTACATGTGGTCAGAAAGGATAAGAAAGTATTGGAGAATAGCAAAATGAAAAGCCTGTGCGATATTCCAATATAGACAGTGACAGCTTTGGAGGGCGATAAACCAGATATAACCCTGCTGGACAAACAGAAAAGAGATCTGCCACCTGATAGGAGTTTCCTGTCCATTTGACATGAGAATTAAAAGCAAAGGAAAGAAGAAGATGAACAGCTACAATGATTTAAAGTAAGAAATTTTGAAAATTTGAGAAGGACTAGCAAAGAAAGTAGTTGTAGTACCAGTGATCATTGGAGCATGAAAACATCTTGTGGGTATTGGATTGTGATTTGGAAATGCAGTCATTACAAAAAGCATTCTTGCTTGGAACAACAAGGATAATTTAAAAAGAATAAATGACTGATTATTTTTAAACTTCTTACCAGCAACTAACATCATGTTGTGCAGAAGTGAAACAATAATAATAATGTTCATCATCATCATCATCATTATTATAACACTTATCTTACATTTTCAGTCACTTTGCTATTTCATGTATGGATTTGGTTTTAGTTTAGTGGCATATCAACTTCTATGAGTTATTTAATGCCAAACTAAATATTTTGTACATAATTTTATGGCTTCAACTACAGATATTTTATACATAATTTTATACTTTGTGGGTAAAGGTATGTTTTATAGATATATAGTTAGCAGATGATCTATTGTAGGCATTATGTTTTGGGGTATAAATGGCCCCATTGCAGGGGTTCTTATTTGCTTTTATTTTCCAATTTCCAATGCACAACATAAAAAGAGCCAAAACTTTCTAAAATCAGTATTTGTTAAAAAAATTGTAAAATTCAATAAATTTTCTAAAAAGGGAATTTGTTATTGCAGAAAATTATTATAATACAGTAGGAGAATGAAGCAGTAACAGTAAAGTCAGTAGGCAACAATAAGAAAAAAAACTTGCTTATATATACCAGGTCCAAATTCAAATTCAGTGAAAATACAACCATGATTATTTTTATTATTATTTAATTTCCTTCCACTTAGCTAGAATTATGTGTGTCACTACATAAACTATTAAAGAGAATGTAAGTTTTGATGCATTTGCTTAATAAATCTACTTATAATACTGAGGGTTACAGAAACAGATAATGATTCTATATATTTTTGTAATGTGTTATATAAGGCTAGCAAATACAGTGTTTAGATGATGGAATTATAGAGTAAAATCAATTAAAGAGTTTGGTATATCATTGTGAAAATGAAAGTTGAACATATAAAAGGGAGAATCATACTTTAATCCAATTAAATACAGCAAACATTTCACCTCATTTACAGCTGATCCAATGAACTGAAAATGACAGAAATTTCTGTCAACTGCAGTTATCTTTTTTCTAAGCTAACCACAAATTATTTTGTCTTACTGATAAAAATTCAAATCTCTCCATTTTCAGTCACTTGTACTAATGCCACACTTTTATATCATTCTAACGACCATTTAATGAATGCATTTATTTCTTCACTGTAAATATTCACTCAGAACACTGTCCCATATAAAATTTGCATAATGACTTCGAGATAACTGTTGACTCTGGTCAGTTTTAGTAAAAAAAATTTTCCTGTAATGTTTAATGTGAAAGCAGCTCACTATTAATATCTTACTAAATCAATATGCTGGCCAATGTACTGAGGATGGTTATTAACATAATTGGTACCACTCCCTGCTATATAAGCATGAAAATAACAATTTTGACACGTGACTGTTTCTATTGTTAAAAATTTGAAACCAATTTCCATAAACATGTTGAATCAACAAAAATAGAGAAAAATATTCATACTGAAAAAAAAAAAACAAAAAAACAAAACTATAGATATATAGAATGAAATTTCTTACCTCTGATCAATAAAGTGTCATGTGATTCCTCTTTTTCATCTTTGCAATCATGGTCTTTGAGTTCTTCACTCATATCATCAGGTGATATGGTGGGTGAAGATTCCTTGGTTGGGGTGTCAAGATCTTCAATAACAAAAGACGGACGAGCAAGAGTTGGGGAACCACCACTGACAGTGGCACGTCTTGGTTTGGATTCTACTTCAATTTTGAATTGTGGGGATTCAGAACCACTGCGGAAAACCTCATTGTCTGTCTCATTCCCATCTCTAAAAAAGAAAAAATAATCTTTGCTTATAAATGACATTTTGTTTAACTATATTTCTACACAAGACAAATAACAAAAGTTAGTGATTTTCTATGAATCAGCATCATTTAAGGTTGGTTTGAAAGGTTTCAGTATAAAAATAAAAGTTCATAACATCACATCATTTAAATATAGTTTATATATGCCTATATGGCACTCATACTCTTAGGAAAGGCATGTACCCACTTCATTCTGCTGTTCAGTCACCAGATATCCTGATAAGATAAAAATGACTCATCACTGGACTGGGATATGACAATAGTTGATAGAAAAAGGGATTGCAATTGCAACAGTGAAAATGGATTAAGTCTCTCTCTCTCTCTCTCTCTATATATATATATATATATGTATATGTGTGTGTGTGTGTGTGTTAGTAGGATGTAGAATAATATCTAATACAAAAGTGGAGATAATGCAACAAAGCTATTCAAACAAAGTGTTTCATCTCTTTATGGCAGGTGTCTTCAGACTGGAATGGGAGACAAACCTGTGAATAAGAAAAGTGTGTTGGAATTTTGAAGAGGTAATAAATATCTTTATCAGATTATCTGGTCAAAAAGGTTTGTTTTTTTTTAAACTGGATTTTAAATTAACCCACTACAAGTAGGAAAAATAAACTTTCTGACCATATAATCTGATAAAGATATTTATTACCTCTTCAAAATTCCAACACATGGGTTTGTCTCTCATTCCAACCTGAAAATGCCTAGCATAAAGAGGTGAAATGCAGTGTCTGAATAGTTTTTCCTCTTTGTCACATTATATATCTATATATAAAAGTTTCATTAAAGACAATTGACAAGGTACTGCATTTAAGCTTTTTATTTAATTTTTGTGTTCATATAAGTTTACACGAACACAAGAAAATTAAGTAAAAAGCTTAAACACAGTACCTTGTCCGTTGTCTTTAGTGAAACTTGTATAAAAGAGGGGACTGCTGCCCAAATATACAATTAAATATATCTCTCAAATTGTCTATATATATTTATGAGTAAGACACCTTGATTCCCCTTTCTAAGGACAACAACAGAATATCTCATAAGTAGGATCTATCAGGTTGCTAATACATTGCCTTGTTGTTTTACATTCTATTTCTTTGAATGTTTTTACTTTTAAATAATCAAACATGAAACTTTCTTTGAAAGGGCTTCTTGGCATGCTAAAACTTTCAGCAACAATAGTTATATAGATAAGATTCTAGATTCCTCATGCAAGAAAATATAAACAGTGCAATTACAAAATTACTTAAATATTTTTGTTTTTCAACAGTATTAATAAACTAGTATTTTAACCAAGTGTGTGTGTGTGTGTGTGTAGTAGGATATTACACCAAAACATGTAAAAAAAATTGCTACACAATTGCAGTCATGTTTCAATGCATATCAATGCATCTCATCAGGTGATTGTAAATTACTGGTGAGTGAATGATTTATTTACATTTAAAAACAAAATACAACAGTTTTTTTTATGAAAAAATGAAAAAAAGGGGCGGGGTTGTAAGATTTGTGGGCTTTACTAATCAACCAATCAAATATAACCTATGTTAAATTTAAACTAAGTGAAGAAGCAAAAATTCAAAATTATTTTTTATAAATGGGTCATGACTCATTGGAAGTTAACTGCAGCCAGAGATAAAATTAAAATGGATACATATGGTTACATAAATTATACAAACCAGACAATGCAGTTTCCTAAGATATAAAAGTGAGGTAGAGAAGTAATTTACGAAAATGCTAAACAAGAGTATATAGAATTATTTGGTAAATTAATATGCAACTGTTAAATAAAGATCCTTCATACAAGATGTTAAGAACACTAACCAATCAATGTAAAATGTCAAAAATAGCAACAAAATACCAATACATCTGTACAAGTTGTTACTAATACTACCAGGAAATTAATACAAAATTATATTAAATCCAGATTAATCTTACAAATAGAAAGATAAGACATATAGTGCAACGCAGTACAACTAAAAGAAAAGAAAAAGTATTATCAAATTTCAAAGTTTAACTGAATTGTAAGGTAAAACGTGAACTATGCTTACAATTAACTGTTAATTCACGTCTTTGATTTAATAATGAATTTTTGTCAAAAAATCTGATGATTCTGAGTTTTTCAGGTAAACACAGAAAACAGGGTTCATATAAAGATCTACATGTTCTTGCCGTTTTAAAAATTTTCCATTTCACCTTATGAGTCTTATTATCATCTTTTAACCTACAAAAATATTTAGAAAGTGATGTATTAGTTCTGAAAGTAGTACTGGTAAAGGACAAGATATGTTAATACCACCTGGTCTTAAAAGACTTCTTAGTACTACCAATACAGAATTTCTCAACCATCAAATTCTCCATTGTAGAAATAGCACTAAGATAAACAAGAGATTTAGTTAAACATTTGTTTAGCAATGGACATTGGTCAGAACTCCTACAATTATATTGGCCAATATCATTAATAATATTTATCTTGGAACATATATTATGATACAGATTATTAAAATGTTATTATGTAACTTTATAACTTCTCAAGATTATTGGTGCAGCTATAACTTAGTTTTATCATCTCTATATAACCCTATATTATCAACATTGACAGCTGCATAGGCAGTAAAGTTATATGAAATAAATAAACTCACCAGATCAGAAGACTAATGATCAGATCAGAATCTAATGATCCTATTGAAATATCAAAGTAATCATCAAAGTTCTTAACACACTATTGTTTATTGTGGATAAGAACTGATCTTCTACAGTTCATTATTATATTTATCTCTTTGCAGGAGATGTTAGAATAATCTTTGGCATATTCCAAAAGGTAAAAATCCATAATGTCAAATTGGATAAAAGAGCAGCTGCTTTTGTTACTAATACTTCTAAACCAATTAATGACTTCTATGGTATTAATCCAGTGTATAAGTCCAAGGTGTTGTTTGATCTGTTTGTTCGCTCGATCCAGGATAATTTTACTTATCCTTCCGGTTTCTGATCTGGTAGGGTTTATGATCCTCATAGGAAGTTTGGTCTGAAAGTCTGGTTTATGATCTTTAAGTACGACATATGATTTTTTAGTACAGAGTTTACTAACTCTATTGCTAATTTTAAGTTTATCAGTAATATTTCTAGAAGCAGTGTTAATTTTATCAACACAATATTGTGCTGGTAAAATTAATGCATACTAACATTGATATGCACTGAAACATGACTGCATTGTGTAGTAATTTTTTTAAATGTTTCTGGTTTAATATCCTAAAATAAATAATATTGGTCTACTTTGTACTGAGTCCACTTTTAAATTATATGTTATGAATGTTGGAATTGTACTCTATTTGTTCTGGATATATATATATATATATATATATATATATATATATATATATATATTGCTGATAACCACTGAACAGTGGACAAACAGATCCACCTATGAAGGATGCTGAAGGTAACATCAATCAGCTAAGTGACAAACTTTTTACTTATATTAATCTTATATATATATATATATATATATATATATATATATATATATATACATATACCCAAGTATAGGATTGGTATATATGAAATAAATTCAATAACCAACAAATACTATTATTAAAAGAATGCTCAATACAGGATAGAGCAAATATAATTATATATTTGAAAATTATAACATAAATATGTTATAAAATCACTACAAAAATAGTCATTTTGTTTCAACACTTCTGGTGTCTTATCAACTGATGGTGTTGAATGTAGAATAAAGGGTTTTTAAAAGTTCAAATCAATCAAACACCCCTCAAGAGGGGAAACGCTGTTACATAAGCTGGAATGACCAATCAAAATACAAGTATATAAGAATTCCAAAAACTTGACAACAAACTTTGGTTATAATAATTATTTAATGCTTTAATGTTAGGGTTAGACTAAAATAGAATTTATTCTAACTAATAAATATTAAATTATACTATAAAATTCAAAATTAAAAGTTACCAATTTTAAATTTTAAATTTAATCTATATTAAGTTTAAAATTATAAAATTATTTAAAGAAGAAACTGAGGAAAAAATACATATGTTTTGTTATTTATTTTGTTTTTATTGAAATTAAGCTGGAATAAACGTTAAGATCTAATGCTGCTCTGAACTCCATTACAACTTAGATATATTTGAAGTGAAGATAGGAGCAGGGAGAATGAAATCTTTCAAAAGACAATACATACACAATCAGATTATAATACACAAACACGCAGACATATTTAGATATATAAACATGCAAAAAAGCGACAAGACAGGAAATATGTCAATGACCCTTAAAAAATATGACAACATATACATACAATGAAAGGCACATATAAGCGATTATACGCACATACATTGATAAAGACACAACATACACACACATACATTGATAAAGACATGGATATATACCCACCAAGAAATATTCAAATTTGAAAGTGTTAGTAAACGAATTCTAACATACTATTAAAATATAACTTATACAGGCAAAGATATATAGATAAAAATGTTTGAATAGATAAAGTTTGATATGGGTAGAATAGAAAAACAAATATTTGTCAATGATCAACATAAGGAAAAAGGACACTAAAATATACAGAAATGTATAGAAAAATAAATATATATGCATAAAAATAACACTATCTATTATATAAAAAGAAAACTCCTGAACACATAAATATATATAAAACTGTTAAATGGAAATTAATGAAGAGAGCTTGAACATTTAATTCCCTAAAATGTAAAATTTAATCGCTATTAAGTTTACAACTATAAAATTACTGAGGAGAAAAGAAGAAATATATATGTTATTCAATTTATTTCTTCATTGAAGTTACTTTAGCTAATTTTATATCCAGTCCTTTGACAATGTATACATTTTAATCCTAAGAGTGTGTGAATGGGGTCCTAAACTCACGTGTAAAACAAACGCAATCAGATTATAATATAAATTTTGATTTTGAAATTAG